TAGTGATTCTTCTCACATTAACTTACTTGACACCAAACAGGCCAAGCTTCAGGTAAACCTTGGTGCCAAACTAAAAAGATGCCAGCATCAGACTAAACTTTGCTATCCAGAGCCAGAACTACTTACTCTGCGCTCTCTGAAAGACCCACAGGCCATAAATGGCAATATGTTGATGCTAAAGAACCGGGTAATGTCAAAGGAAACTCGATTTGCTCTTTTAGTAAGTGAATTACATGTTGCTGTAACCTACCTAACTTGAATTTTCTGACACGTCACATGATTCCTTATTATTCCTGACTATATAAACAGTTTATGGATTAATCCAGAATAAGGCTGTAGATCACTTGATGATGAAAACAATTCTAAGTCACAATCCTAGTGTATATTGCTTTCTTTTAACTTTCACCATTGAGTTAAGTATGATTGGTTTGAACTGTGGTTGATGTGATGTGCCCCAGCCCAGCCTGGGAACCGGTTTCCAGGCTTTCCAGGAAAAGGTTGGGCATTACCTTATGATTATCTGAAAGAGGATGTAACTATACAAGTTGACTGATCTCACACCTGTACAGTGTAATGGAACTGAAAGCATGAGCACTGCAATAAAATATTCTAGAATTCCTTAAAATTACAACATAAAAACTTTCGCAAAAGGTTGTACTGAAAGAACCAAATTGTTCTTGATTGTGGTGGATTGTTTTACAATGTACAGGGTCTTGTCATTTTCTGGTTACCCAGTGTGTCTCTTCAGCTAACAGCATGCAGAGTGTGACAAAGCGGGATAGTGACTGAATAGTGAGATGGTGTGACAGGACGCAGTGTCATCAGACTCAAGTCATCATCAGGAGTTTGGCAGTGGCTGAATGCAGTCTTAGTCTCAGTGGAGCACCTTACCCCCCCTTTGTCCCAGCCAGGACTCATATCACAATGTGTGCATAATTTAATTTAGAGCGTAATTTAATGTAAAAGTTTCAGACACACTCAATTCTCTAATGCACAATTTATTTCTGACTTAGCAATTAAATGTTAGCTCAATTGAGCATTGGATGTTTGCTTTATTGATCTCCATCTTAGGTCTTGAAGCTGATGCTTTTACTTTAAGGATGGAACTACTTTGGTATTGACATACTGGCACTTGAATCTTGGCCACTTTTGCTTTACTCCCAAACATCATTGGCATCGAATGGCTTTGTTTGAACTTTGACAATGAGGTAAAGATAATGCAATCATTCTATTTTTACTTGCATTAGCAATTCTAGTGTCTCACTGTTTTGGAGATGGGCATTTCCATCACGTCACTACACAAAAAGTGTGCCCCTTAGTCTGACCCTCGTTGTATTTTACAGTGAATCTGCCTCTTAAATCAATGACTATTCAATAGTTATTTTCTTATGTAGTATATGAACCACTTATTAAATTGTACTCATTTTCAGGATGAAGTAGGTTTTTGTGGATGCCAAATTTCTTTTTGCAGAATCATCACGGATAACCAGACCTTATAGAACTTGCAGATTGTGGTACTGCTTTTGAGCAACAGTATTGGATTAGCATGAAAACTTGGTTGATAGACCGACAACCTTGAAACCGTGCATTAGAGTGGCTCTTGCATAATCAATTCTAATGAGATGGGCACAGGTGAATTGACGCTAGTGGAAGCTAGCCAACTAATACTGTTGACTCTCTGGGCTGTAACTCTGGTGTCCAAGCCAGAGCCCTTAGCAGGTCCTGTAACTCAAGGACAATTTGGTGCAGGGATTGTACCTTACTTGCATTTATTTTTGTGACTGCATAGCTCTTCTACATAATAATGTTTTGTGTCCCTACATTCTTTTCTAATGTTATATGTGTTTTTTGTATTGTATATCTGGAATGCTGTTATTACATGTGAAATTTTGCATTTTTCAGACTACACAGAGGAGGAATAATCTCTAGAAACACTGTATGCAAATAAATCAACAGTGTTGGTCTGTGGGGGTGTTCTTGGCCTTCAGCGCTTCCTGTGGGCTGATTGTTGTTTCAAAAGGAAAACCTGGAATGCTGTTTGTGTCCTAGAATCCTGTTGTACTTTTTTTCTCTCATACTCTTTCTTCCTCCCACTCTTTATCTCTCTCTCCCTCCATCCTCTGGCAGCCAGGTCTGTCCAGTCGCTCTAGAGGAGTGTCAGTGTTTGCCGAGTGGGTAGAGGATGGTAGATTTGATAGCCATACTGAGGTGTGACCACGGCTGCGCGTGTATAAGAGGGCATTATGTAAGCCTCTTGCCTCCCCTCCCTGGTCTGGATTGGAGAGATGATCGTAAATATTTGAAATTTGGACCATTAACTAGAGACATATTATTCAGTGAACTGGAGTTATGTAGTGTATTCTCATCCCCACATGCATAAATTAAGCTTTGAGGCTTTTCTTTGATCTTAACTTTTGTCAGCAACAGACTCTGGCCAGCCTTTTGTCCAGGTGGCTGTAATTCACACATTCCCTGGTGCTTGTCCAGGATCAGATGTTCATGGTAATTTGTTCCCATAACCCACATGTTGTTGGTGTTTATATTAGATAAAGCAGATTCCCATGGCTGCATAACCTTAATATTAATATTACATACACTGTAATAGTCTCTCAACTTAAAAGCAGGAGGATCTTCACTTGCTGATGAAATGAAATGTTCCGTTTTCACGAGGTACTTAAAACCTTGATGGTGGAGGAAACCAAGGGGAGAACTGAAACATCACAAGATGCCACATTAAAAGGTGTAGCTTGTTTGGACCCTAGCTCTCCACCTTGCTCCCCCTAAGATAACTGCCTTTTTGATTGAAATTAGTGATATGTAAACGAAAAGATGTAAGAGTGTGAGAGCTAATAATCTAACATACAACAGCTCAGGTAGGACTAAGAACATACACTTTTTTTAAGGCCTTGGGTTTGTTCAATAGCTTTTCTTAGTCATATCTTTATTGATTAATCAGTTAGTTTACACAGCTCAGGCTGATCTGATGTCCTGAGTTTGTTTTTATCATGATCCTCCAGCATGTGTGGTTCTTTGCGTGCAGGATGTCAGTAAAGATTTTTAGGTCACTCAGAGAACAGTGTAGGCTTTTTGAAGATTACACTTCGCAAGACCGAAACATTTCCTGTGTACTTGTGATTCATTTGGCCCTGGAAATAACTTCTGTCTCATGAGATTTTTTCACAAGTTGACAGCACTAAGTACAGGTGTGAACACAACCCAATGCATTTGAGATCTGATCACTCAGACCTAGGCCCCCATAAATTACTCATGTAGTGATTTCAAGGTCCCCAAGACCATTCTAAAGTCAGGAAAACAATAACATAATGAAACAAATGAAGGACGAAAAATAATTGTAGCTGGAGAGCTAGTGAAAAAGCCTTTTGAATAGTTGAGTTTTTTGGAGTTTTTTTTAAGTGTCCAGAGATGGGGCATTTTGTATATATATATATATATATCTGTCTAACCAGAGTTCCAGGACTGTAGGTACTAGGATTCAGTATAGGGGTGGACGAGGTCAGGCAGGTACTGGGGGGCATAGGGCATTGAATTACTGCATATTCAACTGCCATCTTGTGGTCTGCTTCAGATTTAAAATGGAAGTAATTTTAAACCTCTGTGTTTCCCATAAATTGATGGTCACTTCCACAATATCAACACTGACTGCCACATGTTGGTGTCCTATTCCTTTTATGTAACTGAAGAGCTGGCTGCAATGATTTGATTCTCTTAGTTAGTCCTTGTCTTGCTCTCTATTTCACACTCACATTCATAGATACTGACTATGACCTGCCTGTCATAGTCACACTAGTTAAAAACAGTCAAGACACATGGAGAGACACAATCTAATGTCAGGCATGAACAAACGTACTTAGATGTGATCAGATTATGATACTTGAATGCCGTAAATGATCTGGGCCATTGTGATTTTGCATGCCTAAACCACCTCTTCAGTGACAATGACTTATGATGGTACTGTTGCACTAATCTGATAAGTTATATAATTATTGGCATTGATACTGACCTCAACAACCTTGCTCCCTTGCCTTTCTTCGTGATTCACTGTACCAACCATTTATGGAAGAGGAATGCTCCAGCCACCTAATATTGAGGGGACCTCTTTTGTGTCTCTGGCTCCTGATCCAGTTGCTGAAGCTGTCTCTATTTCAGACGTGTGTGTGTGTGTGTGTGTG